TTTTTTTTTTTTTTTTTGATGTTTAAATATTATAAAGTAATAATAATGATGCTAACAATAAACATTGTGAATATTATACATTTGACAATTAATTTATTTTCATACATTTTTTTTTTTAACATTTACATAAAAGATTGATGACAGATTTTTAAAATAAAATGTCACTTGTTTTACCTTAAAAGTTATTAAAATGAGTGTCATTAATTTTGTCATTTATTCCATCAAATGTCACTTTCTAATAAATACCATATTCAATGAATGTCACTTATCACTGACTTCTTGTTATTTTGATGAATTTAACCAACCTAATGAAAATGAAAATAGAATTAATGAAGTGTCAACAAGGGATGACAATTACTCTTTCTTCAGTCTTTTATATCTTTCAATTCTTGAACGTTTATGAAATCGTTTTTAAGCATAATGTACGCAAATAATTGATTGAATTAATGAATTGTTATTATTTTTTTCTTTATTATTTAATTTTAAAAATATTAATTATAATAATTTTAGAGCAATTAAAATTCTCAATGTCTACATTTAAAATACTAATCATAGCATTATTGCTTGTTATTAATCATTTTTGTTGCAGTGATTCTAAACGATTACAAGGTAAATCATTCATTTTTTTTTTCTTTCCTCCTTTACTTTTACAATATGTTATTTTATTATTGCCATTAATGTTGAGCAGGTTCTTCTTTTAATTTAATAATATTTGATAGAGGAAAGTATCCTTTTCTATAATTTTCTTTTAAAATTCATTTCATCACATTTTATCATTCGATTTAATTTTTCGTCTGAATTTACTGTCTGTCGATGATAAGCTTTCATAAAAATTAAATAATTAATTAATATAGTAAATTATTTTTAGACAATGATTTTGCACGACAAATTTTATTCCGAGGCAATTTTGAACCAATGCGATATTATTTGAGTGTTAGAAATTTATTTTATTTTTTATATAAAAAAATTACAAAAAAAAGGAAAAAAAGAAGAGAAATATTGCAAAAATATTATTTAAAACAATTTTTTTTTCACATAAGTAACATTTAATAGGATAATTGATAAGAAATTATTTTAAATTATAAAATTATAGTTTGAAAAATTTGCTACTCCCTCAAATAATACGTAAATGATTAATTTGTTTTAGGAAGAATTTATTGAAATTTTTTATCAAATTTTATTAAAAAAAAACAATGATTGATTTATTTTATAAATTTTAATTGAAAAAAATTACCAAAACATTTAGCTAATTAATTTAAATTTTAGCCAAATGATGCATACCTGGTTAAACGTGTACCAAGTGCAGCAGATATGATGATACGTTTTGGGAAACGTTTTACAACATATGATGGTTCGATTGGTGATATTAATGATGATTAATAATGAATGCTATTACAATCGTTAATTTTCAAAATTTTTTGATTTGAAAATTTTATTCAATGATTTTACTATACTTATGTGATGAGTAATTTCAAAAAAAAAATTGTTTGAAATTTTATCGAATAATTCAAAAAAAAAAAATTGTATGATATTTTGCAAAATCTTTTTGTAAATTTTTGAAAAAATTATTAAAATTTTTGGTTATTTTCAAATTTTGAAAGTTCTTTTTTGAAGAAATTTAAGATTTGAAAAAAAAAATTTCAACAAATCAATTCCAATTTTAGGATTTCATTTGTTTCAATGGAAAATTGATGTTATAATTTGCGTTTATTTATGTTATTATTTATACCAATATATGTTGCTTTATAAATTTTGCATTGTGAATTAAAAAAAAAAAATGGGTAAATTGTTACTTAAAATGAAAATAAATTGCAACAAATGTTCTTTGATTGATTTGCAAAGTAATTAGTCACAAAAAAATTGAGGAATACATTTGCATATTCTAGACTATCGTAATCGAAAAAACGATTTTTTTTTCGAAGAATATTTTGAAAAGTTTAAGAAATTTAATCATTCTAATATTGCTAATATTTAAATTTCAAATATATTTATAAAAATTTAAATGCTCAAAGTTAAAGTTAAAATTGTCCTATTTCAATTTTAAAATTTCATTAACACCAATATTTTTTTACGCTAGAAATTTAAGTGGAAAATTAAAATGTAAATTTGAAATTCTCAATTGTTTACGAATTTTAATTCTAATATATTTAAACATCAATTATCAATTGATTTGCATATATTTTGTGACGAATATTAGTAAATATTATTTATTATTAAATATGGAAAACCAGATTTTAAGCTATAATATTTGTTAATCGAAAAATCGATGAGAGATGGAAAAACGCGCTAATATTTTCATGTTATACTCGTCGAAATTAATTTCGTCTTATTGTTGTTAATTTTGTTACGTGAAAAAGAAGAATTAAATTTATCAAAAACTTAACATAATTAAATTCAAATTAAATTAAATTACTTAATTATATATATGCTAGATTATATGAAATATTATGTAAAATAACACACAAAATTTGTCACATATACATGACAATTATCGTGATAATTTTTCTTTTTTTTTCGGTTGACAAATGTTTCATAATAATTGCTTAGCCTTTTATTGAGGTCATATTTTAGTAAAACAAGAATACAAGCTTTATAAATATAACATCCCATATATACTCATATAACCTGTTTTTCCTCTAACAATCGAATTTTAGACATCAATTTATTTTAACCAATTTTAATTCTCTTCCAAATGCAAGTTAACTTGTTTAATTTCTCTCCCCTATCGATGATCAAGTTTTTACTCTAACTTGTCAATTCTCATATGCTATCTATACAACATTAGAATATATACCGGGAAATTCCATAACATCTGGATTATTAATACATCATCGGAAGATATACCGGGAAATTTCATAACATCTGGATTATAAGCGGTGGGATGAGAGGAAAATTTTGATTCATCTATAATTATCGTTTTAAAGATTTAGAAAAAAAAATCATTTTTACTTGTTTAATGTAAATTTTCCATAGTAATTCAATCATTGTATATTTGATGATTAATGTGGATAGGTTTGGAAAAAATTGCGAAAAATTTGCATAATTATTTCTTTTTTCAAATGAAATTCTTTCTAAACTTTTAATTTTTAAAATTTAATTAAATTTTTTAACTTTACACTTCTTTCGAGTTGCTCTTTCTTTTTTTGAAATTTTTTAAGGATTTTATTTGACAAATGCTTACTTTCTCGCTAATTGATTGAATAGTAATTTCTGAAAAAAGTTTTTCTTTCTTTTTTTTTTCTGTTATTATTGTTGAAAGAAGAAGAATGAAAGTTTACTTTTTGGGCGTTTTTGTTTCAATCAATAATTCTTATCTTTACAATGATAAAACAATCAATGCAATAAGAATTATTGTTTTCAACTTTTGAGTTTACTTTCTGGTCCCATTGAATTGTTAACATTATTTTGCTTATTCCCAAAAATTGTTTTATAAATTATACTTATGCCTTTTTGAGAAGTAAATGATCAGTAAAATGTACAAAGTTGAAAGGTCAGATATTTTTTTGAAAGCACAAGATAAAATGTTATAAGATCATAAGGTATTTCAATCATTTTACTCTCAATATCTGCTCAAATTTCTAAATTTCCTGAATATTTTCCGGAAAACATTTCCTGAATATTTTCCGGAAAATTTATTGCAAAAGAAAAAGAATGCCATTTTATTGCTCTTCGTTTCCCTTTTTCTACTTATACAAAAGCAAGTAATGCAATTTTTTTTTTTTTTTCCATTCGTTTATATCCGTAATGAGTTTTGTCATTATATACAAATCAGTGTGAAACGGAAAAAAATATCCCTTCTTTTCCTGTATGTTTCAATCAAATCAATCGGTACGAAATACTGCTAATCCGGAACAGAAGATAAAAACGATCGGAATGTCTCGACGACTATTCTCACCTTGTCATATAATGCCAAGTATATTTACTGATCATTGGCGTTCATCAAATTATTTGCCCTGTGGAATCTTACGATTCAGAGATGAAGATCTTCTCAGCAGTCAAGTGGGTGAGGTGAAATTCCAGAAGAAATTTCTTCTTACTAAAAAATTATTTAATTTTAAAATATTCAAACAAATTTTTACCTGAATTAATATAGTATCTTGGTAATAGTAACAATCGTTCAGTCATTTAAGTTTAATTTCAAATTTCAAATTAATTTTTTTTCTTCAACTTTCTATCGTTTAGTTGTTTCAAAAAATTGACAGTTAAATTAAAAATTGACAATTAAATCATTTCCAATTCCTTTTTTTCCTTTAATTTGTTATATGATTGTATTTTAGATAATCGATAATGCTGAAAAATTTTCTGTATCAATCGATGCACGAAATTTTGCACCAAATGAAATAATGGTTTGTTCACAACAGATTATCAATGAAATGTTTGCTACTTTGATGGAAATTGCAAACCAAAGGAAAGGAAATATTTGAATTAGTTAAAAAAGCGAAGGCATATTTTGTTTCGAATTAATTAGCTATTAATTTGTTTGTTTAGCTTATTCATAAATGTCGTTTTTCTTTTTTAATTTTAATGAAAATTTAGGTAAATGCTAAAGGTAACGAGCTGAAAATTAGCGCAATACATGTTGACAATAATGGCAGGGTAATACAATTTTTACTTTGATATTTTTAAAAGTATGCCAAAATGTTTGTAGCAATAAACTTGCAAATTTATTAACTGTGATAGTTTCAACTAATTAATTACGCTAGAAAAAAACTTTTCTGGAATTTCAAAATGTCAGAAAATCAAATCATTTCAAGCTATTAAGCTAGGCTAAAGTGGTTATATTAATTCTAAGTTTTAAGAAAAAGTAAAACTTTATTTTCCTTAAAATTTTATTTCAAAATTAACTTTGCAATTTTTCACTTAAAGAAACAATTCGAACGGCGTTACGTGATTCCGGATAACGTAATGACGGAATGCAACGAAACCAAAATCAGTCCAAATGGAATACTTACTATCACCTTATTTAAAAAGCATTTACCTTCGTGATTACCCATATGTAATGTAAATATTTTACTAAAATTTTTAGCCGAAGAACTTCAAATTACAATGTTGTTATTATATTTCAATAAAACAATAGTTTAGCAATGAAATTATTTGGGAAAATTAGTAGGATTGAGTAAAATGTAACCTGAAATATGCTAAAATAGGATAAGCATGAAGAGTTTAAGCGAATGGAAAATAAACAATTTATTCATAAATGAAATGAAATAATATCTATTTTTGATACATTTTTCATGATAAATTTTTTTTTTATTTCAATAATAATGTGACAATTTCCATTGTATAAAATTTTTTATGAAATTAAAAAGAAAATGATTTATGTAAACAAATGAATCGAAATGGTTGTTTGGTGGATTTTTGTAATTTTTTGTTTTTACACATTTTTTATAATTGCTGAATAAAATTTACTGATAAAATTTAACAAACATACCAGATTTTTACCAATGAAAGATAGTTAATTAATCAATCAATTCTTGATTTAATTGATAAAATGAAATTTATTGAATTGATAAGATTCAGGAAAATTGATATCAATATCAGAAGGGAATGCATGTTATCCTGATATTGAGTAAATAATTAAAATTTGATAAATGCGATAATTTGGCTTAAACTTTCATTACTCACAATTTATGAATAATATAGCAATCATCCTTTAACAGATTATCCTATCTTAATTTTATGCATTCACTTTTGTGATATATCCATTAATAAGATCAAAGGATGAAATTGATGTTGAAATTAGTTTTATAGAATTTAAAATTAAAATATATGGCTGATCATAGATTAACAATTATTTGACTCTTTCCTCGTCATTTTTTAAAAATTCATTCACTGCAAGAAGGAAGAGCAATATAAAAGGGAGGAAGAAGAGAGGAGGATTTAATGGATGACAGATAATAGTTTTGTTGTCAGATGTGACATCCATCTGATCGTGTCATCAATGCAATCATCATTACTTAGGGTCAGTGTGCTTCCGCTACGACTTAATATCATCCATTCTTTAAAGTTCAATCAAAGCCAACATTTTCATATCTATTATATTCACAGAGATTTGTATGCAATTACAAAGTATAAGCATGGCTAAATAATAGCAAGAGCAATAAATGCAGATTTGGGCATGTGAAAAATGGGCTTTGGTCAGTGATGACCACTTTGCTTCAATAGTTCACTGTATCTTAAATAGATCTAGAAAATGAGGAGTAATATAATTATGAGAGGTAAAGATGATGAATGAATAGATGATATTTTTGTGTCACCCATCTTTTTGATATTTAGCATCAAATTTTAATTAGTTCAAAATAAATGTAATCAAATTTTCAGATGGAATTTGAAACTTTTATTATTCAAAATAAAAGGAATGATAAAAGAATAATTATGTAATTTCAATTTAAAATTTTCAAACTTTTAAATTCTTCGATAATTTAAAATATCCTCAAATTAATACTAATGTGGCCGATATTATTTCTTTCAATCAATTTGATTACATTTAACATTATCGTTGCTAATTTTTTTCCCGATCATCCAACAATAAAATGTAAGTTTCAGTTTAATAATTATTCAATCTTAATATCTCTATTGTCTATAATTTAATAACTCATTAATACTTTATGTTATACTTAATCTTTTTTAATTATTAAAACAAATTCCTTCCAGTATTTCATTAATTTTGTTAAAAATCAATTCATTTAAAATATGCAAATGTATGATTGAATATTATAAAAAAATATAATTTGAGAGGATGCATTATATACCTTCAAATATGTAATAGTAACAATAATAGCAATCATTTTTAGCTGCTAATGTAATTTGTACAGATGATGGGATTACTGTAAATATTAAATTCAATCAATTTTTTGACGGTAAAATATACTCTGTCAAATATTCCATCAATCCAGATTGCATTTATCATAATTCAAATGATACGCCAATTATTGCAATTGAATTTGTTATACCACTAAATAAATGTGGTACAAGAATATCAAGGAATACAAGAAATGTTATCATTTCAATTATTTGTTATATTAATTTCATTTAGCAAAAAAAAAAAAAGAAAAACCTTAAGAAAAATTTTAAAATTTTAAC